ACAAAATGTTTTGGCTCATCGGTGTACGTTGATAACTGCAAAACATAATGTAGGAGCTACAAAGAAAAAAATATTTACAGTGACGCACATATACTTGAGAACAACTTCTCAAGCATAAAAAAACACACACTCACCTAAAGGATTATTAGGAACACCTGTTCAATTTCTCATTAATGCATTTATTTAATCAACCAATCACATGGCAGTTGCTTCAATGCATTTAGGGGTGTGGTCCTGGTCAAGACAATCTCCTGAACTCCAAACTGAATGTCAGAATGGGAAAGAAAGGTGATTTAAGCAATTTTGAGCGTGGCATGGTTGTCGGTGCCAGACGGGCCGGTCTGAGTATTTCACAATCTGCTCAGTTACTGGGATTTTCACGCACAACCATTTCTAGGGTTTACAAAGAATGGTGTGAAAAGGGAAAAACATCCCGTATGCGGCAGTCCTGTGGGCGGAAATGCCTTGTTGATGCTAGAGGTCAGAGGAGAATGGGCCGACTGATTCAAGCTGATAGAAGAGCAACTTTGACTGAATTAACCACTCGTTACAACCGAGGTATGCAGCAAAGCATTTGTGAAGCCACAACACGCACAACCTTGAGGCGGATGGGCTACAACAGCAGAAGACCCCACCGGGTACCACTCATCTCCACTACAAATAGGAAAAAGAGGCTACAATTTGCAAGAGCTCACCAAAATTGGACAGTTGAAGACTGGAAAAATGTTCCCTGGTCTGATGAGTCTCGATTTCTGTTGAGACATTCAGATGGTAGAGTCAGAATTTGGCGTAAACCGAATGAGAACATGGATCCATCATGCCTTGTTACCACTGTGCAGGCTGGTGGTGGTGGTGTAATGGTGCGGGGGATGTTTTCTTGGCACACTTTAGGCCCCTTAGTGCCAATTGGGCATCGTTTAAATGCCACGGCCTACCTGAGCATTGTTGACCATGTCCATCCCTTTATTGCCACCATGTACCCATCCTCTGATGGCTACTTCCAGCAGGATAATGCACCATGTCACAAAGCTCCAATCATTTCAAATTGGTTTCTTGGTTCCACAGTCACCAGGGCCCGTATCCCTAAAGATTCTGAGAATCCTCTCAGAGAGCTCCTAACTTAACCTAAAAATTTCTTGCCAGGAGTTTTAGCTTAGAAGTGATTCCAGAACATTTTCAGGGAACTCAGCAAGGAATGGATGGAAAATCCTATCTTAGTGAGGAGGTGTGGTTGACCCCGTTGCTAGGTATGAGTCATCATTTCAAAAGCCGTGATTGGTTGATCCTACAAGTTTGATGAAAATGAACTTTTGGTGATAATGAGCAAAGGATGTACCCTCAATCAATAAACATATACACTCTAATCTTATGCAGACTGTAATTGTAAATAATATTTCACATTCAAGAAAATATCTGGAAAATGAATAGTAAGCTGTAGGGGTTATAGCCTAACATTAGAATCTAAAATATGTGAAAACTTAAGCTCATTACACCCTGTTCAAATAATGATTCGTGTCTTATTTGCTCATATTAATATCCTAGCTGGTATATTTTGTACTTTCACTTCCATATGGACCCCATTGAAAACAAGATGGCCTATCTCAAGGGGCTGTCCTTAATGAAGTAGAAATTGCAACATTACAACTCAGTGTGGTCTTATCGAGGGTAACACGGCTCAGCTTTTATCAATGTCTGTGATTGCTGGCTGGTCTATTAATGAAGGCTTGTTAACAAATATCCTACAACTCCTTGAACTCCTAAGCCACTAAAAGTCCTCTTCCCTGCTCTTAGCAGATCTCGCCTTCGGAGCCCTTTTAAGCGCTAGGAATCTTGAGGAATAGCTTTTATATTAACTGGGATTTTCGTGTCACTTTTAGGGGAAATTCTAAGAAAACGTTATGACTCTGAGAATTTTCTTAGAATTTGGCCGCTAGGAGCCACTTTTTGCTCAAAAATTCTTTAGGGATACGGGCCCAGATCTCAACCCAATAGAGCATCTTTGGGATGTGGTGGAACGGGAGCTTCGTGCCCTGGATTTGCATCCCACAAATCTCCATCAACTGCAAGATGCTATCCTATCAATATGGGCCAACATTTCTAAATGAATGCTGTCAGCACCTTGTTGAATCAATGCCACGTAGAATTAAGGCAGTTCTGAAGGCGAAAGGGGGTCAAACACAGAATTAGTATGGTGTTCCTAATAATCCTTTAGGTGAGTGTAATTTATCAAACACAAAAATGGAAACAATCTGCTTTAGTAAAACCATTTTTTAGACACGGACACTACCACCAGATATTGATAAATGAATTATACAAAGCATGTGTTGACCAGCTCAATAACAACCCTCAAAGATCTCATATTGCACCAATTATAATTTGAATAGAGGAGATAAATAATAAGTAATGAATTTGACTATGGAGCCACACCAGGACCTCAGATGATGCAATCTCTTTTTTTAGTTTGACTATTACTACCCTAAACCTCACACAAATCTGAGCATTATTAGCAAAATATAATTTATGAAAATGTCTTTTCGGTTCTCCATGTGTCTCACAATAGCAGTGCATCAAATATCAGAAAGGTTATCATAGCTCGAATCGAACCTTCCTAGAACAAGGTGCTAAGCCTGTCTCTGGTGGCACTACCGGCAAGGACACTAACAGGTGACAATAATAGTGCCTCCTCTCAGAGCCTATCTTTCGCACAGTTTATTATTATGTGTTATATGTAGTAGGCTACACCAGTATGTCACTCAAACACCTGAGGTTTTTTACAGTAAAAAGCTTCACTTTGGATTTATGTATTCTGTCCCTTTTTATACTCTTGATGTTGCTGATAAGTTTGGGACTGCCATATTTACCACCAACAACATTTTATGCTTCTTGATAACAATTCTGGGTGCTTGTTGTCTCAATCTAAAGATGTATTTGGTTTCAATTTACCATTGTAGGCTGGACACACTGTTCACCTTAAGCAAATTAAGTCCATCTTATTTATCATGCAGGTTATTTAAAGACTCCAGTTTTGCAGCTTTTAGTCTGTTTGTGTTGGTTTTGAAGCGATCAATATGCATTTGTTCTCATAAAGGTTGACAAGTAATTGGTTTTGTACACATTTTTTAATTTTTTTATTAACACAATAAGATTTTTAATGAAGAATTCTGAACATCTTTATATAATCTAATTAATTATATTCATCTTAATTAATCTTAATCTAATTAATATTTTAATTTTAAAAAAGAACACACCCTGTAATATGTCTCACCCCAACTTCTGTCAACTTTATTTACAGGCTTCCTCTTCGCACAGTAAGATTTACCAGCAGTGTTTGGACGGGGGCAGAAGTACAGTTGAACATGTCCACTCACACAGGACACACACACACACTGATTAGGATATTCGTCTCTTGAGCCGGCAGTGACAGCTGGGTTTGTGCGGAGGATGAGTCTGCATTCCGGATCTGATTAAGAGACTTCGTGGAAGCTTCAACACACTGGGCATGAACACAAATGAATGAATTGCAAATTTGTCATATTTTGCAATTACAAGTTGGTCATATTTGACAATGAGCATGATTGGGCAAAATTCTGAATTGAAGAATTGGCTCCCTTTCAATTCATGAGTTGGAATTTGAATTTTTCCACGCCAAAAATAAGTTGAATTTGAACTGAAAAGACAGGAAAAGGAATTTATTGAATTGCAATTTAAAGAAATTCAACAAAGGTACAGTAATACAAATTGTGTTCCTCCATGCTGGACTACAAAAGTCCATCCATCTATCTATCTATCTATCTATCTATCTATCTATCTATCTATCTATCTATCTATCTATCTATCTATCTATCTATCTATCTATCTATCTATCTATCTATCTATCTATCTATCTATCTATCTATCTATCTATCTATCTATCTATCTATCCTCCTTGACCATGATTCCAGATTCAGATCTCGAATCTGATGTTTGACATTATAAAGGACAAGCGACATGGTCTCGAGGCCTTGAAAGGAAATGGTAGTGTTAATCTTAACCGGTGGGATATTTGAATTAAATAGTTCACATTACTCCCATGAGGTCTTAAGAACATATAAATGAAAGTCTGCAAGGGAAATGAGCCAACACATGGGGTCAGCAGTTAGCTATAAGAGCGAGATAGAAAAAAAAGAAAGAAAGAGAGACAGCGAGGAATGGGGCAGGAGGTGTAAATGAAGGCACAGGATATAGAAGGATGGAATGTCTCTTTAAATTACCCTTTGCTACCAAGCAAGGAGAGAGGGAAATACCATAACCCTCTCTCTCTCTCTCTTTCTCTCTCTTTCCCCCCCTCTAGATGTTTCTTTTCTCCCCTCCCGACAGACGTCCGGCATGTGACACTGTGGTTCAGCTACACCAGCTGACTGATCCGGGTGGCAGAAACTGTGTGGCTTGAAATCCCAGGACACCCTTAGCAATCCCAGTCTGATCTTTAATAGCTGTCAGAGAAGACAACCAGGATGGAGAAGCCGATACTAAATTCATTTTTAAGGAGTATTTGCAGCATATACTCCTAAGTATAAGTGTGTTTTTGTTAACGGGCTTGATTTTCTCAACATTTTTGGTGAAGAAAGAAATTTCGATGTATGTCAAATGAAAACCTTCTAGCTCTGGTATCATCCTTCGGACGGTGTGACTATTTTGGGACAACTTTTTTGCCTTTTTGTGACCCGTTAATCTCAGCGCTTATTTATTACCCCTGCACCAGATAACTTGTGTAGCAACAATTCCCTGTTTGCAACTCCAGGTACGGATCAGCATCAAATTCATCATCCTAAGACCATCCGCAACAACCATCATCCCATCATGTGTCGGTTCCTCATCATTGTCCTTCAACTATAATCAATTAGACACTTTTCCATCCTTCTGAAAGCCTTTGTGAATCTCAGACTCTGTATTGGTTGGTTTATTTGTGGATTTTAAGGTCTCTTTGTGGCCCAGAGCAGGTGTGAGTGCTACAGGAGCACATTTGCCCTTCGTTCAGCTTTTCTAGTGCAGAAGACATGGTAAAAAGCAATAAGAAACTAAATTCCCAAGATGGCGCAACAAATGCTATCATAAGTCACAATGTCAACAAACAGGTCAATAGCCTGGCTTTCTTCTCCCGACCAAATGCCCCAAATAGGTAAGTGGAGATGTGTTTTAAAACCAACTTTTTATTCTGATTCTGGATCAGTTGTGGTTTAATTTCATGGTAGGAGCCGATCAAGATTCAGCAATTAAGTGCTATTTGTGTCTAAAAATGTGTGGCTTGAAACTTTGGAGCTGAAACAGAGAGAAAAAAGAAATGTTAAAAAAATGTTTTGTGTGTTTTCTCCCATCCTCTGCTGTTTAATTCGCTAACATGTCTGGATGTGAGATTTTTTGCAGTTTGTGCCACGCTCATGTGCCTGTTTTTTGTTATGTCCTGTCCTAAACTTTATATGTTGACATGAATCAATTGACTTTCTAAAAATACAAGGTAGAAGAACTTTACAAATCGGTTTCAGAGATTATTTCCCTACACTGAAAAAAAAAACATAAAATCCTTAAACGAGGTAAATTTACTCAAAGAGCAGCACTGCATAAATATCGAGGCTTGTTTTCAGAGAATGTATCTTTCATACAAGTGTATTTTGTCTTGATTTTTTCACTTACTTTTCAAATATAAAAAAGTTCAATAGTTTTCCATTTCAGTAGAACAAAATACACTTTTATTCAAGATACAATCCATAAAAACAAGTCATAATGTCTTATGCAGTTATTCAGTTACATGTTCAGTATCTTGTTTTTATGATATATATATATATATATATATATATATATATATATATATATATATACATATATTCATTAAGTATATGATTATCAGCTGTGTAGTTCTACGAAAAGAATAGCATTAACATGAATATGATTTAAGTAAAGGGTTTTTGGCAATGCCACATCAAATTAAAACATGTTTGTGCTGGTAAAGGCATCTATAATCATAGACTAGTCACGTCTGGTTTCATTCCTTTTGTGTGAGTCAGTATCCCCTGATGGCAATAGTCTAATTATATAATCCATGTTGTATTCATTTATAATGGTCCTTAGACCAACTAGTATGAAGAAATAAGCTCAAGGGTTTGGTTTTCCGCAGCCTGCAGGGAACAGCAGCTGTTTTTGTCGGCAGTTTGCTATGCAGAGGAATGTTATTATCATGTATAAAATATACTCTTGAACTCTTGAACCAACATGAGTTTTTACCCCTGTACTATAATGCCAAAGTCAGCATAGTAATTGTTTTAATATATAATATATCCAGTACACTAAATATTTTTACTTTGGACTTTTTTTCATTGAATTATTTTGCCATGTATGTAATTGGAGATATATTTAAGACACCTCCACCCCCCAATACTCTCTACCCCCCAGATGCAGACAAGAAAGGCTTCTCTGTGTTCTTGAGAGCTTTGTAACTTTACATTTGCGGCCTAGCTTCATTCTCTTGATCACATGACTAGAGGATACTGTTGCTTACTTCATGTCACATTCCTCTCGTCACTCAGCCCAGATTAACACTGGTTCAGATATTATTAAACATACAGGATCTCCCACATTAAACTGACTGAAAGATGCAAGAATCGACATTATTCTGTTAATATGTAGGTATTGTAGGTTGAATTTAAAGCATATGCCATGGCTTCTTATAAAAGTACAATGATTACGAACTGATTGTTGCTTTGGTATGTTCTCCTTTGTCCCGACTGAGTTGGTTGATGTAACCTCTCCCCCTGATCTGTGGATGAAAGGATTTTGTTGTTCTCTCTCCAATTCACATCCTCTTCTCCTCCCTCACACTAACAATGGATCTTCCTCTGCTGTCTGGGACAGCACTGCTCTAACAAAAACTTACTCTGATACTCTAAAGATGAGCAAACTAACATGTTTTTATCAATAAAAGATGAACAGATAAGTATGGAGCCCCTAAAGAGATATGGTGGTGGGGGGAAAAAAATAGATGGGAGAAAAAATATTAAAGACCCCTGTGGTGAAAATCAAGTTCTCTTACGAGAGGTTCTCTCGTATTGCGTAAGCTAGCTTACGCTGCGGGAAAGATTCATCTTTTCTGAGAAATTGAAGCCAAAAATGATCCTATAATTTTGTATCCATTGTCAACGCAGTTCAGCTGCAGCAGAGCATGAGCAGGCTAGCTAGCAGCTCATTGGCTCGCTCACAGGGAACTGCTTAAGCCTATGAGGAGACACGAATGAACTCTCGGCCAATGAGAGTCTGACCTGCTCTCATTGCGTCAGAGCCCGCCGAAACGGGCGTGGCCAGAGAGTATACATTCGCCTCTCAGGCTGCAAACTCTGATTTTCATCTCTTCAGCGAGGCTACACGCATCTGCTGATCCTGAGAGAAGCCGCCGTCGTGGAAAAGGCACCTTCTAGCGAGCATCTGGGAGTCTGAGGAAGCCGGCCGTCTTCGCCACCTTCAGCCGTCCTGCAAGCTAGCGCCATCCGACGGATTCATATCCTTTACCAAAAGCTTCTTGTTTTGTGTGTGTGTATCTAAAAGAGCCGAGCGTCTTTGTAAAGATGTCTCGTTTTTCCTCCTGCGGTTCTTGCCGCGCTCCCCTCGAGACTGGAGACCGCCACGTCATCTGCGCTCTCTGCCTCGGATTGGAGCACGCCGAGCTCGCCCTCGCCGATGGCGGCTGCGATCTCTGCGAATGGGCTTCTGTTGTCGACCCTGCGGGCTCGACTCGAAGCGTTACGCCGCCTCCCCCTCTCACCGCCTACGAGCGCTGAATGGGGGACGAGCCGCTTACAGCTGTGCCAACCGCGGCTAGCTTTCTTTACTTTACAAGAGAGCTAGCCCGGCCCCATGCATACGCGTCACCGGCAAGTGGGTTTATAGTGCGTTAGTTCCGTCGAGGCCGAACTTGTCGCTGCTATCACGCCCTCTTATCTGCTCGCGCTATTAAGCCTGTGTCTTCCCCCTAGCTCAGTGGTGGAACACAAAGCTTTTCGCGCCAGAGACCCGTGTTCGATTCCGGCTCTCGCAGATAACTTTTTTATGCAGCTCTGAGCTCTCGGCTAGCTTTCTTACGTTACAGAAAGCGGCCGCGCTCTCCCGCCTGCATATAACGCCGCTACATAAAGCGTTTATAGTGTATCAGTTCCGCTGAGGCCGAACCTGTTTCTGCTATCACGCCCTCTTATCTGCTCGCGCTATTAAGCCTCTGTCTTCCCCCTAGCTCAGTGGTGGAACACAAAGCTTTTCGCGCCAGAGATCCGTGTTCGATTCCGGCTCTCGCAGATAATCTTTATGCAGCTCTGAGCTCGCGCCCAGCTCTCTTACGTGACAGAAAGCGGCCGCGCTCTCCCGCGCTCATGAGAAACGTTCTCATTTCCGAGCATAAAGCTGGACAAATGGGTTATAGTGTGTTAGTTCCACCGAGGCGAACCTGTTACTGCTATCACGCCCTCTTATCTGCTCGCGCTACTGTGCTTGTGTCATTACCCCTGTGGCTCAGTGGTGTATCACAAAGCTTTTCGCGTCAGAGAAATCTAAAAAAGTGCATAAAAGCCTCTTGTGTAGAAAATGTGCCCACAACACTGTGTTCACTCATACACAAAACACTGCATGTGCACAAACACCGTTTTCACGGCGACCCAGAGATATCTCAAAAAGAGCATAAAAACCTCTTGTGTAGAAAATGTGCTCACAACACTGTGTTCACTCATACACAAAGCACTGCATGTGCACAAACACCGTTTTCACGGCGACCCAGAGATATCTCAAAAAGAGCATAAAAGCCTCACGTGTAGAAAATGTGCCCACAACACTGTGTTCACTCATACACAAAAGCATTTCAGTTCCCGTGTGTCTCACAGAGCCCACTCTCATAAAGCGGTTCCAACCCGCTCGAGTTTCAGAGTGCATAAGCGCGCCCACGAGCCCGTGTGCGCGTCCCACCTCTGCTCACTCTGTTACACGGCCCTTAAACTCCTCTCTGAGTGTAAGTCCCGCTGTCATAAACACTATGAGCGCGCCCGCGCGGCCCGCTGTGTGCAGCAACGGGGACCATGTAGCCATTCACCCCTTAGCGTTACGCTTCAAAGCGTGGAAAGCTATTCCGGGAATTTCCCAGTGGGTGCAAAACACAATAAGGCTAGGCTATCGCTTACAGTTCCACCGCCGCTCTCCAGGTTTCCGAGCGCGGCTAGAAACTATTGTGAACCCAGAAGCAGTGACTCTGCTCCGTTCAGAGATAGCAAAACTATTGTGCAAAAGGGCTATAGAGAGAGTTCCTCTATCTATGAGCGAGTCGGGGTTTTACGGCCGTTATTTTCTGGTTCCAAAGAAAGACGGCGGCCTCAGACCAATCTTAGACCTCAGATTTCTGAACAAAGTTCTCATGAAGAGACCGTTCAAAATGCTCACTATCAGAAAACTCCTCGCGCATGTGCGCCAGGGGGACTGGTTCATTTCACTAGATCTGAAAGATGCCTACTTTCAGATTCAGATAAATCCCCTTCACAGGCCATTCTTACGTTTCGCCTTCGAAGGCCAGGTTTATCAATACACCGTCCTCCCGTTCGGCCTATCCCTAGCACCCCGCACGTTTACGAGGTGCATGGATGCGGCGCTCGCCCCCCTGCGGAGTCAGGGGCTGCGAATACTGAACTATTTGGACGACTGGTTGATTTTGGCACAATCACAGAGGGAGCTACTGTCTCATCGTACAGTTCTCCTCGACCATCTGAAAAGTTTGGGCCTCTCTGTCAACTGGACAAAGAGCGCACTTCAACCCAGTCAGACTATCTCCTTCTTGGGTATAGAGCTAGACTCGGTCTCAATGACGGCTCGTCTGTCTACACAGCGCGCGCGCCGTGTGCAGCGTCTCGCCGCATGTTTTCAGATGAACAGACTCACACCTCTGAAAACTTTTCAGAAGGTGCTGGGTTACATGGCCTCAGCCTCCGCAGTGCTCCAGCTGGGGTTACTGCGCATGCGCCCGCTTCAGTTCTGGTTGAAGAGCCGTGTGTCTCACCGCGCGTGGACCACGGGCCGCCAGCTGATAAAGGTAACGCAGACCTGTATCACAGCTCTGCAGCCATGGACCATGACAGAATGGTTTCAGCGGGGCGTTTCCAT